GTCACGATCATCTGACCTTGTTCTTAACGCTGGTGTCCGGGCTGGAGTTCATCCGCTTTGACTTGGATCTGGTGAGTGCTTTATCTGTTTGTCCTGGCTCTGGGAGAGCAGGTATGTGGAGCAGGGGGGGTTCTGGGTGTCAGAGGTCCCGCCGCCTGGTCCAGGGTGTACCTTCTTGTTGGTCTTCAGCTGAAAATGTTAAGCTGCTGCTTTTAGGAAAGGCTCTAGGCTGGGGTCTTTGGAGATCCAGCACAATATTCCTATTCCTCGGTTATTCCTCTGCATCGTTCGGAAGAGGAACAAGGGGAAGCCAGCTGTGGGGCAGATTGATGGGGATAAAGGAGTTGAGCTCTGCAAGTGCGGTACGACATGCTGGCGTCCCTCCAGGTAAACACAAAGCCGCTGGCTAACCCTTGGTGTCGCAGTGGAGCTGCCGGGTTTCCTCTGAAAGGCGGCAGAAGTGGGCAGTCAGAGGACATTCAAGGACAGCCCCATTTTCGACTGTGCTAATAACTGTGTGCAGTGACTCACAGCCTGGCTCACCCCACGCTCTCTTCTCTGTAGGACGCTCCTTACCTGGATCTGGCCCCGTACATGCCAGATTACTACAAACCTCAATACCTGCTAGACTTTGAAGACCGCCTGCCCAGCTCCGTGCACGGCTCGGACAGCCTGTCCCTCAACTCCTTCAACTCGGTCACCTCCACCAACCTGGAATGGGACGACAGCGCCATCGCTCCATCCAGTGAAGGTCAGTGGTTTTTCGGAGACGGGCGCGGTCAGGGCGGTGTGCTCCCACACCTCCTTCGGCTGAGCTGCTGCACAGACGCCAAATGAGGTAGCAAATGATGGGCTGGAAGAGACCAACGCGAGACACCCAGCAGTTAGGCTGTGAGTCTCTCCCGTCTTGCCTTGGGAGGTGCTGGCATTTAAGCAGGAAGAAGGACTCCCCATGCTAGTCACCTCAGGCCACGTTTCCATCCTGGGGGGTGTGTTTTAGCAAGAGAGAAATCTCCCCATGGAGTGAAAATCATGTCTGTATCTGAACGTGGTTTCCCGTTCAGAGCAGGTACGCAGGGTTGCAGAGGACCTTTTTTAACTGCTTATTTTGCAGTCCAGAGACCCAAATACACTGGAGGTGGTGGGGAATAGTTTCCAGAGTCTTTTCTCCATGTCTGCAGTCTGAGGGACAGGCAGCCAGTGGTCTCAGAGGTGCTGTTTTTACCTCTTTATGCATCTTAACTTGGGCAGCCTGATGAGTTGTCATACTCACCCCCTTACCCCTATCAGAGAGGGCTGGGTGGTGTTCCCGATGAACTGAGAAGACACGTACCTTTTGCCTCCCCCCCTTAACCCGTCAGAGCAGGGAGCTCTTATGCTGCATGAAGCATGTTCACATGAAGGAGCAGCTCTGCTGCTGCTGTTCCTAATCCAAAATATGTTGGCCCTGTTCCTTTTTTTGAGGTCAGTTTGAACAAAGCGAGGTCAGGGGATGCTGGAGTAGATGGGGCGATGCATGCCGTTAATTGGATGGAGTGAATTCGGGACTGAGTCCGCATATGGATGGGTTCCCTCTGAGGCAAGGGTCCTCCAGTTGCCTTTTATGTGCAGGATAGAAACTGCAGATATTAAAGATGCTGAGAAGGAACAGCCTGGGAAACAAGATGCAGATGCGGGGATGGGCGTTGGCATGGCTTTAGCAAAAGGCTTTGAAGCACAGCACTGTTTTGGGCTCAGCCACAACTTCTGCGCTTGTGGTGTAAGCGTGAAAGGGTTTGCTTTTGGGCACTCGCTTATGCCAACCTCCAGCAGTAAGCTGGAGACAGCACAAGGAGCCCAGCCGTAAAAGTCACAGGAGGAAGCTCCTCTGTCCCCAGAGCTTTGGCATAAGCAGCCGTTTCAGCGCGTGCTGCACCTCCTTGGCTTGTGTTCCTGTTCCTCCCTCAGCAGAACATGTCTTAGTGCCAGCAAGACATACTTGCCTGTCCCTGCTGACTGGGCAAGGGGTGTCACCTGGGTCTGGCTACGCTCTCCAGCCCGTCTGGTGGATGGAAGCTTAATGCTCAAGAAAAGAGGGGTTTGGAGCAGAGATCCAGGAGATTTTGGAGCTAGATTTTGGTTTTAGCATCGTCGCAAGCTATTCCATGTGTCTGGGCAGCGGTTGTGATCTGTGTCTCAGTTTCCCCATGCATAGAGGGGTTTGGTGCTGATGTAGAAATGCCGTCCCCTGTTGTGGGACCAGGACGGTGGAGGTGTCGGAGCCCCGGAGGGCAGGCATTGCCGCTGTTCCTCCGGCATGGAGGAATTTAGCTTCAATAACTATTTCACTGCTCGTCGTTTCAACAGGAGCATCTTGCTACCCTGGGAGTGTAGGTGGAGCTGGGGATCTTAGGATCAGAGGACAAGTTTTTCCCTTTAATCAGACCCCTGGCTTTGCAAACATTAATGAGCCAAACATCACAGTATCTATGGGAGGTAAGTGTAAAGTGGGGAAACTGAGGCACGGAACAATTAGATTGGTTCACAAAGGGGGTCCCTGATTAGGTACGTGCCACCGACCGTTTTTCTGGTTTAGCTTTCCAGCAGCTTGCATAATGGGGCCTGCATCCTTCGCTGGTCCCGTTGTAGCTCCCATAACACAAACATCCAGCGGGAACAACCATTAGTGCAGCTGGTTTCCATTTGCATCCACATTCCCTATTTTCTCATGCGTTTCAGATACCGGTGCAAGATTGTTTTATTTCATTCCTTTCCCATCTCTCTCCCCAAATCCCCTTTACACTCCCCCCTGCCCCCCTCCCTCCCCACTACTTGTATTTCTAATCCTGAGTTTTATCCCTCGTTTTTGTAGATTATGATTTTGGAGATGTCTTTCCAGCAATGCAGACCATGCCCAGCAGAGACTGGGAAGGTGGGACATACTCATCTGTTACAACATTTTGTTTTTCTCTCTGCATTGCTGCCACCTGAAGCTTGCTGCATGCTCCCCGGTTCATTTCTTTAACAAGCAACCATCGCATCTTGATGGAATTCGGTAGAGGCAGAAAGGAGCGGAAAAGATCCCCCAAGGTGGGAGGTTGTGTGTCTCATCTGTAAGACCACGTGCAAAGCTTTCCCCAACTCCTGGTGTGTGCAGGCACGCTCACCTGGCCGTATATCCCGGAGCAGGGGGTTGTTTTCCTGCCTCTGATGATGCCTCCGTATCTTCTAGATGTGTCTGCCCCAGCGCTCGGCGTAGCAGACGTGAGGCTGGAGTTTTGAGTGCGGTTCTGTGGCTGCGCGATACGTTACGGCCTGTGTTGATAAAGGAGCCCTTATACCAGGTTACAAAAGAAAAGCTGCAAAATCGCCCCCGCCGCGAAGCTGGCAGGCAGGGATCAGCGGCCGTCCAAAATGAGCGTGACCGTGCCAGCAGACCTTACGCCGTAGATTTCCTCTTTGGGGTAAAGCACGCAGGGTGCTGATTGAAAAACTGATCCACTTTCACTGATTTCCTGAAAGCCCTGCAAAACAGCTGAATTAATTCTGTTTTCTTTAATTTTGGGCCTTATGCAGGGATTAATTTGGGAGGTTTTGTTTTCCTTGGACCCTGCTCTCCTGTATCAAAACATCTCTCTTGAAACCACAACATCCAGCACATCGCTGTGCTTGGTTTGGGTCACTACACGTTTTTTTGTTGTTTTTTTTTTTAATTTTACCACTTCTAAAACCAACTTGTCAGCTATGTCTGGCCTTTACGGTCAAGAGCACATGCCTATTTTAGAGGAACTTGTTCTTCTTCCTCCACGTGCAGTCCCTCTGCGTATCCTTTGCATGTCATGGGAGTAGGAGGCCTCTCTGCTTTACCCCCAGAGGAAATTACACCCATGTTCTGTCCTTTGCAGCTAAAAGCTGGGTGGAGCCTTGGCCCCGAATTGCCTTGGCTGGTACCGCCTGAATATTTGGGGAAATTCTGCCTGAATTCCATGTGTGCCTGAATTCCATGTGGATGGCTCTTGGGCTCTAACACACTCCCTCTCATCTTCTTTCTTACCCCATGTGCAGGGATGCTCACAGAGATGGTTTAATGTGTCCCTGAAGCTTGAGCGGACACCTAGAGGGTACAAACCACGTTTCCAAACCCAACACCCAGCGAGCAACTTAATGGTGGGTGTTGGGTGCAGGCTGGGAGAAGCCAGGGAATGCTGGGGGCAGACCCCTGCGGCTTTCGGAGGTGCGCACAGCTCCCGTGCGCAGGTCCCGGTTGCAAAGCGGCGCCAGCGTGATCCACCGCTGCTCCGGGCGGGGTTACTGTGTGCTGAGCAAACCTCGGCCGTAGCAAAGTTTTCATCGTAACCCGCCGCCAGGTTAGCTTACTGATGCGTTCCTTGCTGTTTGTACGCAGAGCAAGAGGTTAAGAAATTTGGGGCAGTTCCCCGTTTTCAGCAAATGCATTTGGGGTAAAATTCTGTATTTTGGACAAAGATTGTTCTGTCTCAACAGAAGCGGCAGGGTTTAGGCAAAAGAAGTGACATTCATTTTAGTGATGCATGCTAGAAGCCTGGGGCTGAAATAACTTTTAAATATTTTATTTTCCCTTTAATGTAGACATTAAAAATCTACCCGATTTACTTCCCTTGATAGAGTTCACACCCTCCACGCTGCAGGGCGGGCGTTAAACAAAGCAGTGTTTTGAAATCGGCTGTCACAAAGCTGCCTTTATTAGATTTTTATAAGAGGTTTCATTTTCCTACTCAGAACCTACACCCCCGAATCAGTCTGCCAGGGCTGTGGTTTCCTTCAGAAGGGGTCTCCCTGCCTAGCAGGAGCTTTCTAGCTGCCTTTGGAAATGAAGGGTGCTGGAGAAGAGAAGGGGATGGGTCACCTTCCTTTAACTGTGACTTTGTGGACGGATAACTCTGAGCATGACTCCTGTAGCCCTTCTCCACTGCTTCTTTTCCCTCTGAAGACTAACACGGGCCAAGCCGGTTGTGCTGCGGACCTGTCTGTGCAGCCTGCTGTCCTCGGACCCCGGTGAATGCTGTGTCCCCCCTCCACCGCACTTCCAGCCCCCTGTGTGTGTCTCGTGCAAACGGAGGAAAGCAGCCGGCTCCGTAAGGATCGCTGCTCTACGGGCTGGCTCTGTTTCTGCCCTCTAGCCGAGCGAGCATCTTCCTGAGACCCAGTTGTAGGGGAGAAGCAGCAATGCGGCACAGCAGCCTCTTTAGCTCACTGTCGTCTTGCTAAGGAGCACCGTGGCCCCAAGACCCCTCAAGTTCCTTCCCAAGGACACTACCTCTACTTCTTAATCTGGCTGCTGGCTTCTGGGTGACCGAGCTGTTATTTCCAGGCGTTGTCTAAATTGCAGCGGGTGCAAAATGCAGAACGATGCTGGGTCATGCGCTGGCCTCTCTCTCCCCCCTCGCAAAGAGCCTGCTGCCTGCAGCAATCTCTGAAGCTAAGCTGGTCCGACAGCGCTCTGACAGTGCCCAGGCTGGTGTCATCATCAGCAGTATGGTGACCATGTAGTGCCCTGAGCCCCCAGCACGCAGCTTTGCTTGATTTGACTTGATCCAGGTGCCCAAGCTAACA